GTCCATTATTAAAGAAGATTTTTAAAGATTGCATTAATTTTAGTGGTTTTGGCCCCACCCCTCAGGCCCCAGGGGGCAAGGACCATGAAATTCACAGTTTTTTCCCCTTTTACCCATAGGTGCTATATGCCAAAATTGGTTGAAATTGGTTGAGCTGTTTCAGAGAAGAAGCTAAAATTGTTCAAATGTTAACAAACATCGCACGACGACGCACAAAAACAGATAGCAATAGGTCACCTGAGTTTACTCAGGTGACCTAAAAATGCACTAAATAATACACATTAGAAATAGAATGACAAGTGAAAATGATTTTTTTTTTTTTACCAGTTAAGATTTTTAAAATTGACTTTTTTTATTAATTAAAAGCAGAGGGAGATAACTCTTACCAAAATTCAAGGTCATAAATTAGGACATCCCACCCTTGCATGCTAATAGTAATAAATGGGAATTATGTCTAAATATATTGAGTATTCAACACCTACACATCTGTTATGTATTCAATTTCATTGAATCTTTTGCTATTAGGATGGAATACCTTAACTTCTTTATTGCTGATTTATCATCCAACTTCTTCAGCTACCTTCTGAATGCTTGACTTTCGCAAAGCTTTGCCTTAAATACCCTTGGGCTAGTCCATTCCAATGGTTGTCAGGTCATTCCACTATCTGAAGTCTTCAACGTGTTTTACTTTAATATCCCTTAACCATAACACCTATATAGTCATATGTAAACCTTGACCCACTGTTGTGTCTCCGCCCTACCCCCAGGGGTCATGATTTGAACTTGAATCTACACTACCTGAGGATACATGTACTTCTGTATTAATATGTCTAATAATGGCTTAGCTGTTCTTGAAAAGGAGATTTTTTAAAGATATTTCCTATATATTCCTACGGTAAACTTTTAACCCTCCCCCCTGTTGTGGCCCTGCCCTACCTTCAGGGGTCATGATTGGAACAAACTTGAATCTACACTATCTGAGGATACTTCTGTATTAATATGTCTAATAATGGCTTTGCTGTTCTTGAGAAGAAGATTTTTAAAGATATCTCCTATATATTCCTATTATATAGTAAACTTTGACCCTCCTGTTGGGCCCTGCAAAATGATTGCGAAATGATTTGTTGAGCCCTTTCATAAATTATTGCCCCTGAAAGTTTTTGATATTTATGAATAATTAAAAATTTTCTAAGTCACAAGTTGTAAAGACTTGGGACCAACTGCATTATATTCTTTGACCTTATACCTTGAAATTAAGGTCAAAGGTCAAGGTCATTTGAACCATCAGAAATTTAACTCTTTTTATATCTCTTTTGTCTTTCAACATATACTACATATTGCTGCACCTAGGGTTGGATACCGTTAAGGATGAAATGGTACGATACCATACCGGTATTTTTGAAACGATACGGTATTTTTAACGATACAGTACTATGCATTGATGAATGAGAATGAGGGTTCATTTTATAACAAATGTGCTTTCACCATTCACTAACCTTTCAATGATATATCTAAAATGAGCTTATAAACTATGTTCCATGCTTTTAAGAGATAACAATAGATATTCCTAATATTCAAATTACAAACATTTCATTTCAACCTTTTAATAATGATCAACAAAACAAATCAATTGAATCCCAAACAAATAATTTGCACAAATTGGCTGACTGCTTCACCCGGTTGCCAGGACCCCTTTTGTTTGGTCGCACAAAATAACGAAACATTAGATAATGGATAGATCACATTTTTTGCGACATTTTGCCTTTTTAATTTACATTTATTATCAGTTTTTATTCGTAAAATTAAAATAAGATTCATGTGAATGTATTGTGATTTTTAAAAAAAAAACATACGTATTGATTTACCTCGAATATTGGCAGTCGAAAGTAAGTATCGTTCGAAGAATCCATTTCATTACATGTAATTAGCCTACCCTTTCAATGAGCGGAGAATTCGATTTTAGCAAGTTAGGAATCGTTTTTTTTTTTCTAAAAATCAAATTGAATGTATTAAAATGTTTTAAAGATGAAGAAGTACCGTTATTAGTACCGGTATTCAATGAAACGGTATTTTACCGGTATTTTTGAAGTAACTATTCGGTACGGTATTGGTACCGTGTACCGGTATCCAACCCTAGCTGCACCTTTAATATGTTCCTTTAAAACTATTTTAAAGATTTCATTCTTGTCCCCTAGGCTTGACCCCTTTAAAAGTTATTGCCCCTTTCACTATAAACCTTGTTATCGCTACTCCTCCAAAACCGTAAACCATAGAGACACACAACCTTCACCACTGTCTCCCATTACTTAAGGTTTTCTCCAATCTAAAAGATTTATCGACCCCTTCTGACAGTTATTGCCCCTTGAGTTTTTGACCTTTCGCAAATCAAAGCATAACTTCTAAACAGTGAGTCGCAAAAACATGGGACCACCTGCACATAAGTAACTTGACCTTTGACCTTGAGATTGGGTCAAGGTCAAAGGTCGAGGTCATTCGAAATCCTCAAATATCCATTTATGATATGAACTTTGACCTTGACCATTGACATTGATCCAAGGGTCATGAGAAGAATATTGAGATATTTTTACCCAGCTTTCAATTTATTTGTGCTTAAGCAAAATCAAAGTTCTTTTTTTAATCCTGATCTATGTCCCATTGTTTCGTGACCAAAGGGCCAGGACAAGCTTAAGAAGATGTATTTTGTTATAATTTTTAGCTAATATCAGGATGAGAAAAATGTTTTAAAGTTAAAAAAATATAAAAAAAAAAAAGAAAAAAAAAAGGGGGGGGGGAACCAATACCAATGTAGGAAACCAAATATTTCATGCTTTTATTATCTTGTTTTCTTCTTAAAATGCTGTAGAACATTTTATTATATTTGCATTTAATATAACCCACATGGAAGCTTGTTTCAATCAAGAATCTTCTTTCCGAACTTACAACAACCTTAGGATTGGCAGTCCGGCCGCTTTGAGTCCAATCCATGTTTTCACCATATGAAGACCTACATAACAATTAGTCTCAAGTCCGATTTATTTCATCGGCACTTTTCTAATTGGTTTAACTTAATCAGAACATTTAACACCTCAAATTAAACCTTTGAATGCATAATGCACAAAAATAGAAATACAATATATACAGTAAAACACATGTGAAGCATTGTACTTCCATGGTTACTATGTAAACAATGCATGCATAGCAAGCGATGCATAAACATGGAAGCAAACTAGAGGAAAGGAAAGAGAGAGAAATTCAGAGGAAGAGAAAGGGAAAAGGAGAAAAATTGGCCCCTAAATCACAAAACCCCCCATCTTTTTTTGGAGATGTGCGAAGATCTTTTTAATTTGAACTCTTTTTTTCATATTTATCTTTTTAAACCTAAATTTCATGAAAAGAGACTAGAAATGCTTAAAAGATGGAAAAAAATAAAGATTTTAATGAAAATAAAGTGACCCTGACCTTCAACCTTGAACAAATATTCAAGGTCAAGGATCACATTGCAATTGGTCTCATGTTTCTACAACTTTTAGTTTCAAAGTTATAGGATTTAAGAGTAAGCGCAAAGGCATACAAGGGCAATAACTCATACATGTATAAGGGGTCATCAGATCCTTTGGCACTGAATAGATTGAAGTTGTATCTAAAGACCCTGAAGACATTAGTGAAGGTTTTGTGTCTACGGTTTCAGAGGAGTAGCAATAACAAGGTTTTTAGTGAAAGGGGCAATAACTCTTAAAGGGGTCAAGCTTAGGGGACAAGAATGAAATCTTTGAAATAGCTTTAAGAGGACATATTAATGATGCAAAGATATAATGTATATGTTGAAAGACAAAAGAGCTACAAAAAGAGCTAAATTTCTCATATTTAGAATGACCTTGACCTTTGACCTTGATGTAAACTTCAAGGTCTAAGGTCAAAAAATTTAATGCTGTTAGTTCCATGTCTCTACGACTTATCTTTTTAAAAACTGTTAATAATTTGTAAACATCAAAAACTTTCAGGGGCAATAACTCATAAAAGGCTTCAAAGAATCCTTTTGCAATTAATAGATTGAAGAATCATCTGAAGTAGTAGAAGACATTGGTGAAGGTTTCATATCTCTGTGGTTTACAATTTCGGAGGAGTAAGGATAACAAGGTTTCTAGCAAAAGGGGGAAGAACTGCGAAAGGGGTCATATGTCATATGCGTTGGGTCATTTTTTCAAAATAACTTTAGATGTCGAGTATAATGGAATATAAATTGTTGATAAGTCTTTCGGTGTCAGAAGTCTTAGCGAAAAAAAAAACGTAAGCATTTCAAGAGGTCTTTCCACAGAAAGGTGGAAAGACTTAATAATAAACAGAACAATTTCAATAGGTCTTTCCACAGAAAGATGGAATGACCTAATAATAATAGACATAAGCATTTCAAGAACTCTTTCCACAGAAAGGTGGAAAGACCTAAAAAAGTTGAAAAGAAACAACAAAATAATAAAATAATAGGGAAAAAGAAACCGAACGAAAACAATAAGGTCTTCCGTTGGAAATAGATTAGAAGACCTTAAAAAGTGGAAAAGAAACAACAGAATAATAAGAAGGTCTTTCGTTAAGACAGAAGACCTTAATAAGAATAAGAAATGGAGTAAAAACAATATGTTCCCAAACTTCATTTGGGGAACATAATTACCTAATTTAATACTCCATTTCAAAATAAGAATTTATCCCCTTGAATGCCGTTTCTAATTTTCCTTTGCAACTAGTTCATGTGAAAAAATTGTGATGTGTTATTTTCCAATGCAGTTTCAATTTACGTGTGGATCTCAGTCTAGAAACACCCTTTTAACCTTTTTGACTTCTAGTGGTGTTTATCATGGACTTAGAATTATTTTATGTTGAAATAGTTTCCAGTCATGATGTAGCCATATGAATCTGTTCTAGATCTATTAAGTTTTACAAACCATACCTTGCACTATGTACATGTATTCATTTTCCCCCATATAATTTGACCAGTTCCATTTCAGTGGTGGAGCAGATTTGTTGTTCGACAAGGTGAAAAAGCATGATATAGAACTGCCAGCCTCTGAAAGAAAATGTAAGAAAAGTATTCCCCAGGAAGGTTGAAGTATATTTTCTTCTATAATTCACTTTGGTAACAGTAATATTAGTATACCAGAGCAAAATACTCCAACAAGCTTTTCTGATCAAAGTTTATGGTGTGTCTTTGGGAGTACATAATGTAGATATGAATGAAGTTGGCAGGATACAATGTAATCCTCTCTGTCTAGCACTCCAAATCTGTCTAGCTCTCTTTCTGTAGACTTTTAAAAAATTATCTCTAAAGCTATTCATCTTGTGTTTTTCAACTTAGTGGATGTATTTTTGAACATTTAAAGCTATGCAACTTATGATTTTAGATTGATTTTCAACATTTTTCAAAGTCGTGACTATTTGAAAGTTTCTTTATCAATACTTTTAAGTAGTAAAAAGATTCAAAATATAATTTGAGTTCTGACCAGTATGCAGTATACTGTTCTACTAAACAGAATTAAAGCCCTTGTTCAGAGAAAATGTAGATAAAGGATGAATTTCACTGTCCCCCCCCCCCCCCCCCCCAGGACCTCAGGGATGAAGGTTAAACCAGAAAAATTGGTGCTATCTTTAATTTTTATTCAAATTCTTCATCTTTACACCTGAACATCAAGCAGTCAAATTGTTGGCATAATTGCAATTAGCATTGAGCCCTCTACTATGAAATTCATTGCCTGATCACAAGGGCTTCTTGAGTTAGGTTGGGGCTCTAATTAATTAATACAGTGAAAATGCATTAATTCTTAAAATTTATTCTTCTTTCTCTCCCTGTACACTGGTTTCATTAATATTTGTGGGCATCAATTTTTGTGGATTTAGTAAAAATCACAGTTTCGAGGTAACGTAAATTCGTGGATAATGGTCCTAACAGAAAAAAAAAATTGTCTGTCGTCTTTTCATATTTTCTTTCGCCGTATTCTTTAGCGGGAACCATCATGCCATTTACAATGTTAAGAGTACGTAAACATTTTTAAAAAAAAAATACTAATAGGTGAAAACTCTTCAATTTATTATTTATATTTAACTCAATTGGTTTATCAAAAGTCGGAACCTTCAAGCGTTTACAACGCTGTACGGTGGAACAATGAGGGGTAAGGCATTCCAAATACCTTCTCCGCTGTAACACTATGAGCATGGGCCAATTAAATATTGGATATTGAAAAATAGACTTTTTTTAAATCAACGTTTCGGGGAAAAGATGTCCAAGTATCTCAAAATATTGAGACAATTTGAATTTTATCTTTTAAGCGCACACATGTGTATACGAACGATAATTAAGTGTGGCAACAGGATATTAAAAGTAACAACAATTAAGTATTTCAATTTACAAAATGGTGTTAGATACTTATTTTCACATGCATAGCATGTTTCTGGACTTGACAGAAACATCCAGTCCCCTTGTTTGTAGATCTCCGAACAAACACATCCATGCTCGCTGGATATGACTTAACTTCACACTTAAACATGCAAAATGGGCGACAAATAATTAAGCCGTGATGGGCTTTGAAATGGAAGGACTTCTGCAACATACTTTCCCGTTATCTCATGTTTAACAAAAAAAATGTTTCTAAACAAACAGATAAAGTCAAATAAGCACTAAATTGTGTTAATAATTTTATGAATTTAGCCTGTTTTGAACAGAGAGTAATTAATTATTTCTATCAGAATTTTTAATTAATGATAATTTGTTGTTTTCATTGTGCAGGTGATAATGGGGATAAGATCCTTATATTGTTTGAGAAAACAAAGTTAACACATTTACGCCTGATTATCATCCTTCAGGGGTTAATACCACTGACTGGTATATGTACTGCATTGACAGATCTATGTGTTGTTTGTTTATCTCCGTGCAGAATATTATAACATATTTACTCAAGAAGTCCAGATAATTATGTAAAAGTATTTCTTCCTCTTATTTTGATATTCTTAAAATGATAAAATATGTTTATAAAGTCAGTCTGATGGGAAAAGGGAGGGGGTATTTAATATATATTAACGAAAGTCGGAATGTGCTTTTTAAAGGTTTTTTCATAAATCAAAATGGAGGCACCAAACTTCGGTGAACATTTGATTTCATGGATCAACTCAACAATAAAATCCATGAAAATTGGTGTTCCATGAATAATGATGAAACCACAGTATTAAGCAGATAAACTAGGTGCATGGTTATGATGAGCAAGGGTGCCTCTTCCAAAATTGTGAAAATTGTGGCCAAGGGTCACGGGTTCTGGTATGTGTATTGGGGGTTCTTTTGATCAATTAGTAAAGGTGCATTATTTCTTTGAAAATCTTTAATCTCTGTTCCTGCATATCAAACAAAACATAACAAAGTGCAGGGGTGCCTCTTTCAGAATTTGGTATTTCATGGTCCCTGGGTTAGGGGCTCTAGTGTTAGGATGGGGCTGTACATGTCTTGATTATATAGTGAAAATTTATTACTTTTTGAACAATTTCTCTCTGCTGCTGGGTATTTAGCTGATAAAAAAGTGCATGGTTACGCAGAACAAGAGTGCTTCTCTTTCTTGTTCAAATGAAATTAATTTCAATAAGTGAAGTAGGCTTTTTTAAGTAGTGTCTGCTGCCAAATCATTTATAATAAAATATGTTCAAATCAAGGGTGCTTGATCAATGCCTCTTCCAAAATTTTGAAAACTGAGGCGCCACGGTCAGGGGTTCTGGTGTTGATGGAGCTGTATGATTAATTGGTGAAAATAAATTATTTCTTTGAAAATTTTCTTCTTTGCACGTGGGTGCATCTGCACCAGAAACAAAGTAAGTGCATAGCTATGATGTTCAAGTGTGCCTCTTCCAAAATTGTGAATTTCATGGCCCTTGGGATAGGAGTTCTGGTTTAGGGCAGGACTCCCCTGGGTATGTAGCAGACAAACTAATTGCAAAGATATGATGAGCAAGGATGCCTCTTCCAAAATTATTAAATTCTTAGCTCCTGGATCAGGAGTTTTGTTGTTAAGGTCAAGATTTAGTAAATGAAAGGTGCCTACAGATTTCTCAAATTTGAGAAATAAATTCCTTTAATGGTGCTTTATAACTTTAGCTTGGTCAAATAGGGTGTTTCGGGGCATATTTTGTAGATAAACAAGACGAAAAATCATATTTTAAACTGTCATTTTCAATGGAAAATTCAGAAAACCAGTCATGAATACGGGAGTTTTTTCCATATCAGACAAAGAAATGCATCCAGATTGCCTACAGTCTCTCAGAAAACGATAATTTGTATGTTCTTGGCCTCTTCTTTAAAATAATATCAAATTAAATATATGTATCGGGATTACTTTTCACATGATTTCAAATTGAATTCCATGAAAGTACTTTATTTTCTACAAAATTCTACTACAGCCGTAAAGTACGGGAAAGACAAAGTTAAAATTGATTATGACGTCATAATGGATCTAGCACCAAAAAGTTAGTCTAAAGTCATTTACTAGATCTTGACCTTAAGGTGGGTCTCTGTTGAATATGTCATGAAGAAGTATTATCTTCTTTTCTGTCCCTGGGTTTTTAGCAAACATATTAAGTGCATAGTTATGATGAGCAAGGTAACCTCTTCTAAAATTGTGAATTTTTCTGCTGCTGGATCTAGGGCCTCTGGTGCTATGGTTGGGCTCTATTGGTTATATAGTGAAAATTCACATATTTTTTGAAAATATTATTCTGTTCTCCTGGGTATTTAACAAACTTGGTGCATATTTATGATGAGCAAAGGTGCCTCTTCCAAAATTGTAAATTTCATGGTACAAAGTTGTAATAAGGAAGGTATTTTTACCAGATTTTTAGGTCATGTGAGTCACTCAGGTTACCTTTTGCTATCAGTTCTCGTATGCCGTCGTCCGTCGATTGTCGTCAATTGGTCATAAATTTTGAAAAATTTTAGCTTCTTCTCTGGAACCACTGAACCAAATTCAACCAATTTTGGCATATAGCATCTATGGGTGAAGGGGAATAAAAATTGTGAAATCATGGTCTCTGCCCTCTGGGGTCTGAGAAAGTGGGCTGCAACCATCAAAATTAATGCAATCTTTTAAAATCTTCTTCTTTACTCCTGGACAACAAGCCATCAAACTGTAGGCATGATTGTAATTAGCATTGAACCCTCTACCAAAATTGTGAAATTCATGGTTCAGGGGTCAGAGGTTCTGGCACTAGGGTGGGGCTCTGTAGATATATAGTGAAAATGCATAATTTCTTAAAAAATCTTCTCCTGTGCTCCTGTGTATTAAGCAAACAAACAAAATGCATAGTTATGATAAGGAAGGGTGCCTTTTCTAAAATTGTGAAATTCATGGCCCCTGGGTCAGGGGTTCTGGTGTTATGGCAGGGCTCTAATGATTATATAATAAAAATGCATTAATCCTTTGAAAATCTCCTCCTCTGCTCCTGGGTATTAAGCTGATGAACTAAGTATATAGTTATGATGAGAAAGAGTGCCTCTTCCAAAATTTGGAATTTCATGGCCCCAGGGTCAGGGTTCTGGTGTAAGGGCAGGGCTCTAATGATTAAGTATTGAAAATATATTAATTCTTTGAAAATCTTCTCCTCTGCTTCTGGGTATTAAGCCAATGAACTAAGTACATAATTATGATGAGGAAGAGTACCTCATTCCAAAATTTTGAAATTCATGGCCCCTGGGTCAGGAGTTGTGGTGTAAGGGGGAGGCTCTAATGATTATTTAGTGAAATGCATTAATTCCTTGAAAGTCTTTTCCTATGAGGAAGAGTGCTTCTTCCTAAATTAAGAATTTCATGGCCCCTGGGTCAGGGGTTTGGGGGGGGGGGGGAGGGGGAGGCTTATTTATTATGTACTGAAAATGAATTAATTCTTTGAAAATATTCTCCTCTGCACCTTGGTATTAAGCAAACAATCTAAATGATAGTTATGATGAGAAGGGGTGTCTCTTCCAAAATTGTGAATGTTATGGCCCCTGGGTCAGGGGTTCTTGTGCTTGGGTGGGGCTCTATTGATTAATTAGCAAAAATGCATTAATGC